ATATATTTTTTTTTTTTCTTAGAAGTAAGACCCTTTTGATTATACACCCGTTGACTTTAGCTCACAATTCTTTTATTCTCTTACTTGTCAACCAACATATAACATCAGCGATGCCTTCCCCAAGATTGTCAAACAAATTTTTATTTTTATTTTTATTCAAATACTTCTTCAACGCTATTAATGTTACATAATTATCAAAAATGAAACCCACTCAAATAGCAGCATCAACAGTGCACATAATATTTTCAGCGAAAAAAAAAAAAAAAAAAAACCAATGCACATGGGCGTATAAGATGTTTTTCTTCCATAATTGCAATTCTTTTTGTCTCTCTACCGCCACTTGCTTGTAAAATAGACCAGTTAGAAATCAACTACATGTGTTAAATATACACAAACAAGATAATGAGTAAATAATTGTTCCTTCTTTCCTCTCCGAGAATTTACACAGTAATTAGGCTACAGAAGGAACTTCCATTTTTTTTTTTTAAGGTCAATCTCCGATCAGTAAATTAAGTCGTGTTGAGCTTGTGGTTTAGTGGGAGTGAAACTGATCCCATGTTTTGAGTACTTATGGCCTCTAAATTTCAACTATAGATGAAAGAGACGAGACGAAATAACATCAATAATTCTCTTTTTTACAATTTTAGAAAAAAAAAAAAACTACAAAAGGAACTAAAAAAAATTACATTAAAGTAAACATATATCAGTGCCAAGAAAAGCCAAGGTAAGAAGGGATGTAAGGATTAATCTCATCAAGGGGTTTCTCATGAGAATTAGCGTTCACATTATCCAGAAAAGAAGATCTGCAAAGTGGGCAAGTGAACTGATTGCAGTCCAGCCACTTCTCAATGCAGTTCATGTGGAAAACATGACCACATTTAGACAGTTGACTGACCACATCTTGTTCCTCAAACTCAGCCAAGCAGATTGAGCAACTCTCTTCCATGGTTTGCCCACTCCTCCTTTGACACGTGCCCCGACCCGGCAAGTCGACGAACCTCGAGACAGGAAGCCATGGCTCAGCAGCAGTGTTGGAGGTAGTGATGTCCATCAATGGCCGCTGGTAAATGAAGGAGACCATTCCCAATATCCCACTCAGAGCTTTCTTGAGTTGGAGAAGCGGGATCCAAACGCAAGTGTAGAAAACAATCGTTGCAACACAAAAATGAGACTGTGAAACCACTAAGAAAATCATTTTTTTTTTCTCTCTTTTTTGCTCTCTAATTGAATTTGCCTTTTTTTTTTTTCCTTTTTTTATTTTATTTTATTTTTTTTTTGTGATTGGCAAATGAGAACTTGGAACAAGGGAATTGGGATGAGAGAAACAAAGGGAAAAGACTGCCCTTTTATAGAGAAACTTGGGAGGCTTGTAGGAGAGAGAGTCAAGTGGTGTATTCCTTAATTTCAAAACTAACGTAACCAATATGCACATCCCCTATTACACTCTGACTTTTGGTGGGTTTTAGGAGTTTCATTAAAATATGTATTTTTTTTAATTGATAATGAATATTAGATGTTTGAAAAATAGTAGCTTAGCGCTTCATATGGAAGAATAATAGTTTTTTTATGTACATATATTAGTGAGTATTGTTTATATATACAAATGATTTTATATACAAAAATCGTCTTTGGACTTTGAAACCGGGGAGGCTGCTGGGCCGGCGCCGACCCCACATCCTCATAGTTCAATATTAAATAATAACAATATAAGATCTTTAAATGTAAACACAACCTTAAAAATGGTAATATTACGCTAACTTCGAAACAGATGCAGGATTACAGTTACGAAAATTAATGATCTGAAGCTGTTGCCAGTCTTTGAACAACGCCTCCCTTAGTGTTATCTCTTAATTATGGTCCATTGTGATTATATATATATATATATATATATATATATG